ACATGCATCTCTGCCCTCGTCCCAGCAGGCATGTGGTAGTGTGGAGTGGCAGCTGTAGTATCGCTTACTGGAGGGTCTGGTAGTAATCAGAAAGGTGAGGGCTTACTGAAATACATGTTGTATTCATTGCCACTTTACAGGAAAGGAGAGGGAGGCCGGTGCCGCAAAGGGAGCCGTTGTTAGGGTTGTTTCGCCTAGTCCCACGGCCAGCCCTGCCGGCCTACCGGGAGCTGCGTTTCGGCACTTCCCGGGGGCCAGCTCCCAGAACGGGGCACGGCCGGTCCCCTAGGCCACACCCGTCTGGCGGCGGGCAGTGGAGGCTCTCACTGGGATGTTCGCTCCCTTCGGGTCCCCGATGGCGAAAGCCACCTCGGATCTACCCCGCATGGAAGCGCTTTGCCTTCACCCGCCAGATTTCCCTTCCTTCCGTGGTCCTGGCAGGAGTGATCTCGCTGACATACACTCGGAAGATAGTGACTCCCCTCAACAACCCAGGGCAGCGGGGCTCCGAAGTGGTGCCGGAGCTCACCTCGGGGGGTTCGGGGGCTATGGGGTGTCCTGTCCCTCGTCCCTGTCCTCGCACACAGCTACCCTCGTGCCGAGCCGCCTCTTCTCGGGCTGACCAACGCTCTGTGGCTGTAAATTAATGAAAACGTAAAAACTCTAGGGGAAAAAAAATGGGGAAAAAAAATTAAGAAGGTGCCGAGACGTGCGAATGGGGCATAAAAGCGATGGAAAACGGTTCAAAGCTTTCGGTGATGACTTTTCAACCTTTATTTATGTGCCTATTAATGCAATATCCATCATGGAGATACGCATCTTCATCCTTTCAACTGATATGCTGGGAATCAATTGGATATGCAGATTACATTTCATAAGTTTCCAAATGTTAATCTCCCCGGCTCTTTGCTGGTAATTTCTTTTTTTCGCCCAAAAGTATTATGTTTCTGCCCCACTCCGCCTCCCCCCCAAAATGCCTTAAAACAATTAATCTTAAGGCTACTTATTTGCTAAGGCTCGGGCCCAAGAGCCGGACGGAGGGCAACGCTTCTGCCCGCTCCGTCGCCAACCGGGGGCCTTCCCCGGTCACCGGACCCCAGGCTCCGCCGGAGCGGAGGGGTCGCGGCAACGGCGGGGTTCATTCACACCAAACCCCAGGCTCGACAGGTAACGAATGTCCTTGGACACTCCTGGGAGCAGGAACGGGATGTGGGGAATTCAACTACACGGCCTGAAGAAGCTTTCCTTGCTAAGGCTTTATGTGAGGAGCTTATCTCTAACGAGGAAACTGGGCTGTACAGGGCTGGCTGTCCCAGTAACCGGCCGCTTCCCTAAGTGCCGCCGCCCGCGAAACGCCGCGGGGTGCTATCATCCACGGCCTCCCCGTCCGGCTCTATCCCCTCTCTCCCCCTCATCACGCCTCCTGCTTAAAGCAGGGGGTTTATTAACCATTCGTATTACTCTAACCCCCAGACTGAAACAGTATTGAAGTTTTTGTGGTATTCTACAACTCGCCGTCGGTCTCGGTCAGCTCTCATCCAAACAACTCGACACCGGTTTGATTTAATTCTTCTCCGGTCCGTGGCAGCGGTCCCGTCCCCCCACAGTCTCGCTTGCTGCAGAGAGGACGCGGGTGGACGCGGTCGGATGGGTGAGTGGCTGCAGGAGCCCTACGCCTGACCCGCCGGGAGGTTGTGCTCCACCGGGCACCGCACGCTGCCTCCGGCACCAACTTGGGGCTTGGAACCCTCAAAAGCTCTAGAGGAGCGGGAGGAGGAGGAGGGAAACTTGTAGAAGGAGAAGTACAGCAGGCACTGAATGAAACCGAACCGGCCCGAGCGGCCCGCGTCCAGAGCTCCCGAATCCAGGGATTGCTTGGGAGGTGTTCATGGCAAGGACAGAGTGGAGCAGGAACCAGAGTGACCATACACACTGATTATGCCAGTCTCTTCTCTTCTTCTCCTCTTTTCCCTTTATTCTCTCTTTCTCTCCTCTATTACACGTTTCTGTTTAGGAAGCTGAACTCTCCCCTTCACCTCCCCTAGAAGCTGTTAGGCAGAGAATTGCTTTGGAAAACCTTATGAGAAATTAATGTATGATGTATGGGCACAAACCAGGAAACACTATAATTGATTTGTTTCTAACAGAGGGGAAAACAGTAGTGTTTATCGTTCCGAAATGATTGCTTGTGTTCTTAATAGCTCTAATTTTCACTGTCCATTTGATGTGCTGCAGGTTTAATATGGAGCATTTACTAATCCAATTAAAAGTGCACCTGGCCTGGAAGAGCTGTATAATTAGCAGAAGCACTTTTAGCTATTTCCACTGGAAAACCGTGAAATCATCTCTGCTGGCCTAGAGGACTGTAATATGGGGGTGGGGGCGAGGAGGGGAGGGAGGAGCAGGGCCAGGCATTCCTGCCTCATCTTTTCCCCTTGCTTGTTCGCCAGTCCCCGTGCGGGAGGATGCGGGAGGCTCACCCCGGCGCACTCGGTGCCCGGTAGCGCAGGACAGCGAGGGCGAGACTAGGTGGGTTTCTCACCGCTTCCCCCTCCTGTCCGGGCGAACCCGGCCGGGAAGCCTGTCCCAGGGGAGTGGGACTCGGCCTTTGAGGTTCGGGGAAAGCTCTGGGCCTGTGGGTCGCCCGCTAGCCGCACGGGGCCGGGAGCGGAGTGGAGAACCGGGAGGAACTGGGGGGGCCGCCCAGCCCCGCTGCGACCGGTAGCGCCGACGGATCCGCCGCGTACAGCGTGGGACCGGACTTGCCAGGGCTGGCGTCCGCGGGCCCACGCGGATGCACGCCACGTACACGGATGCGTGTCATTTGGGGACCGAGGGGAGGCGTGTTTAAGAGTAACTCACGGTAACTGCCGAACCCGTCTCCCACGCCGGAGTAAGCGGCTCCGCTCCTCCTCCTGCGCTGGCGAGGGGTCTGGATGGGCTCCATCCAGGGCGTCCATCCTCTCCGGGTGGACGTGGGTTACGAACCCAGCATCGAGGTGGCGGCCACCAACTCCTGACGTGGGCTGGGACCTCTTCGGCTCCCAAGCTCGGGGCCGCGGCGGTACCAGTGGGGCGAGGGGTCACGGAGGGGCTGGTTGCACCATGTGCGCTCCCATGAGCCGCTGCCTGAGGGCGAATTAAATCCTAGATAGTTTCGTCCTGATTTCCTTTTTAATAACACTTCTATCGTTTTTCTTCCTCGAGTAAAACACGCGTGGCAAGTAGCGCAGCACCGCGGAACGTTTCCCGAGCCGGAGGCCGCTCTCCGCGGCTCGGCTCCGGTCGCGATTTCATGGAGCTGGGTTTCCTCAAGGCTCGGCCGCGGTTTTCTCAAAGCTTCGGTCATCGGGATGCTTTGTAAAACACAAAGGCTGTGTAAAACATACGCTGAACCTTTACTGTGAACTTCCACTGCCAACCTGTTCGTGGGGTGTGCGGAAAGCTTCCCGGGGCAGAGCCGGCGGCCCCGCGCGCTCAGGATTTGGGGTTTGCTTTTGTGCATTTAAAACGTAATGGAAACCGCACGGTCTGGTGGCCGGGGCGTGCGGGCTGGGGCTGGCGGACCAGGGGCCGAGCTCCCCGGGCGTGCTGCGGAGGGACAGGCATTCCGGCTCCACCGCCGCCAGTACTCCGGTGCGGAGCCCGCAGCCAACGCCGCCGTTCCCGGGCCCCGGTGCCTGAGCTGAGCCTCTGCCTTGCCTTCGGCGGGCGGATTCTCTCCTTATTCTAGCTCCGGATTTCTGCCTAAATAATACGAGCTCCGGCCCTTCCAGGGGCCGATAGCAGCTCCGAAACGATCGCCTGGCCAGTAAAGGGGCAGCGTACTGGGAGCATAGAAAACATTGTTTCCCTCATTTCAAAGGGGGAAACCTGAACGATTCTCATCCTTTTGATTGATTAAGGTCTTGAATAACTTGAAGCTCGGGAGTGACAGTTAGTGAATAGACTATTGCAAATAAAGAGCACTGTGGAAAGCTGGGCTGGCACTTCAGAGTGTAAAGGAGGCGAGTTTGCTGGCACTTACCAAGTTATAAATAAAAGGCCATGCACAATAGTACCTTCTCTAAGGACAGACAGTCTTTACAACACTCCTGGCGTCATATCCTGCTGTGGTCACTTCAGCTCCGAGGCAGACTTTACCTCTTTTATTTTTCCAGCAGTTTAGTTTGAATACTACAATAAATTCCTGGGAACAAACGCTTGTTAGTGAGACTTCACCACGCACCGCCTCGCACCCATGCACACACGCATATGCACACTCACGCACACGCGTGTAACGCAGGACACGTCTGGTCTCATCGATTTTTAAAAGCAGAAATCCCCACGGACATCCCACTGGCAACTCTTGCTTTCGAAAGCGTTACACCGTTTGGTCCAAAGATGTTTCTTATGGACGGAGAGAAATCTCGGTGTAAAGAGAGAAGTAAATAGAAGGAAGTGTTTCTTTTCTCTAAAAAAAAAAAAAAAGAAAGAAAGAAAGAAAAAGACTCAGGGAGGTTGTTCCTCGCTGCCTCCACCGCTAGTGCCCGGCGAGCGGAGCCAGGACACGGAGCACTTGGCGGACAGCGAGGCAGGGGCTGCCCCTTAGTGCCTGGCATTCCGTCTGGGGCGGGAGGCGGCCCGGCGGAGCCCCGCAGTGATACGGGGTCCTCACGAATGCGAGGGCCGGGCAGCCTCCGACTGGTGCTCCCCTCCCCGGGGCCGGGGTTGCCGTCGGGGCTCCGAGCAGTTCCCCGCCGCCGGGCGTTCTCTGCCCGTGGCGAGAGGGCTCGTCCCATACGGACAGCGCGGGGCCGGGCCGGGCCGGTCACGCTGCCGTCGCGGCGGCCGGGGCGATGCGGGAGAGCCGCCCCACTCACCCAATCAGCGGGAGCGGCGCGGCCGGGCCGGGCAGCGGCGGCCAATCGCGGCGGCGCCGCCGCGGAGCCGCGCCGGGGACGGAGCCGATAAATGCTCCCGGCCCCGCGGCTGCTGCTCCCCGCTGCACCGGGGACAGGGACAGCGCCGCCGCCGCCCCCCCCGAACTCCCCTGCCCGAACTCCCTTCCCCGAGCCCAGCCTCGCGCCCGGCGGGGCTCCGGCTCCGGCCCTCCCGGTGCGGGGCAGCGAGGGTCACTGACAAAGGGGCAGCGGCGGAGCTGCCTCCTCCCCGCCCCCCGGCGGCATCCCCCACCCCCTCCGGGACCGCTCCTGATTCGGTGGGACCCGCTGACAGCGCGGGTCTCTCCTAGATCAGCCCTCACCTGGATATAATCCTGTCGGGCCGCCGCGATGACAACTCTGGCTGGAGCTGTCCCCAGGATGATGAGACCCGGGGCCGGGCAGAACTATCCCCGCAGCGGGTTCCCGCTGGAAGGTAAGGCCGCGCCCGCGCTGCTGCCACTCAGGAAAGGGAGAAGTACTCCGTGTCGGGAGGCCGGGACAAAGCAGCACCTCGAGAGCCGGAGGACGGAGGGCTGCCGGGGCAGCCTCACGGCTCATCCCCCGGGCTGTCACAGCCGCCGTCCAGCGGCAGGGCTTGAACAGCAGTTTCTCTGGCCCGAAACTGGGGCCAGTTGCAGGCCTGGAACCCCAGGAGAGCTCCATCCCGGCCGGCGAGAGGGGAGAGCAGACCGTGAGGTCGGAGGGGCAGCGGGCCCTGATTCCGCTCTTTAGCAGAGTAAAGGGCTGTGATTTGGAGAGCGCAAAGTTAGGGAAAAAGTGAGGAAAAAGGGGAAAAAAAAAAAAAAAAAGGAAGAAAAGCCCAACCAAATAAAAGCAATGCAAACGAAATCGAAAGCGACCCTAGAAAAGAGAGTACATCCCGGCTGGGCCGGGCCGCTGCAAGTGGCGGTTCTCGTGCTCCAGGCCGCTGTGATGCGAGAGCCTCGCAGCACCGGGAAGCCCCGCAGTTCCTGCCTGGACAGGACCGGGACCTCAGCGGTCCCCTTGGAGCCGCGGGCCGGCCCCGAGCCGCCCAGGGAGACCGCGGGCCTCCCGTCGAGGTTCCTCCTTCTCCGGGGGAGTCTGGCAGGCCTCGACCCCCGGCTCCGGTGTTAGTGCAACAGGTGAAGCGTTGCAGCGTTGTAGTCGCCGGCGGGCCCCGGGCGCGCTGCGGGGCGGCCGGAGAGGGGGCAGGGGGTGGCGGGTGGCGGCGAGTTACCTTACAGAAAAACACAATAACAAGAAGACCCAGCAGGGTCCGAAGGAGACGTTAACGCCATTTCCCCCTCCTGCCTCCCCTCCCCTCCTTTTTCTAGTCTCTACTCCTCTAGGCCAGGGCAGAGTCAATCAGCTCGGAGGAGTGTTTATCAATGGCAGGCCTTTACCCAACCATATCCGACACAAGATAGTGGAGATGGCTCACCATGGCATAAGGCCCTGTGTCATCTCTCGCCAGCTGCGAGTGTCCCACGGCTGCGTCTCCAAAATTCTCTGCAGGTACCAGGAGACGGGCTCCATCCGGCCGGGGGCCATCGGCGGCAGCAAGCCCAAGGTGAGCCCCTCCGCACCTTCCCGAAGCAGGGCAGCCCCCGTCAGCGGCGGCGGGGAGGGAAGCCCCGCCGGTACCCAGACCCGGGTGGGGGCACCGTGGCGTTTGCAGGCGGGAGGCAGCACCCCGGGAGGGCCGGGGGAGACCGGGCGGCCCCGGCGTAGGCAGTCACCGCTCGCAGCACCGCCTGTTGCTCTCATGCTTTTCAAGGCTTTAAAAAACACAGCTGGAATTCGTGGCTATGGCTTTGTTTTGTTTTTGTTTTATTAAATGATGAAAACGCTATTTTAAGAAATAATTTCTCAAACGAAACTAAGGCGGAAGGGGTCGATTTCTGGCCGCCTGGTTGTCCGGAGCCCCGAGAGCCCCACGCTCAGTGCCGGGAGGGCTCGGTGCCACCGGGCCGGAGAAGCAGTCGGTCAGATGCCAGGGCTTGCACAGTGCGGCGGGATCTGGCTCTCTCTTCCTTCGCTGCGAAGCGCAAAAGATTTACCCATATTTCTGCCCGTCTGTCTGCCTGCTGCTCCTTCCCGGCTCTGTTTATTTTTCTGTCCTCCCCAAAGCTGTGTATATTTATAGCTACGCAGCTAAAAACTTTGCGCTGACAATAATGCCGACAAATATGGATCCTTGTCTCAAGATCAGCCTCCTCCCCGTATAGGTTTTCACTCCCACAAAAGCAAGGACTTGAGTTTCTGACTAAAGTTGATGCTGTATTATTTTCCACTCATTTTGCCTCTTCTAAGGTAGTTATGCCTGAACTTTCCCTTTCGGTGTTAGGACTAGAGATAATTTCTTATAAGCGTGTTACCCGAACGAAATACTGTTCCCAACCGGGAACCTTTGTTTGGTTTGATTTCGGCTTTATTTGAAAATCACGAGGCCATCGAAGAAACCTCTTGGTACTCGGAGCTCTCAGCGCTTTATTTCTCTACTTTTTATTTGGAGCTGCAAACTTTGTCCAGCCGAAACTTCCCTGACCTGGAGCCCCGCTGACACGGAGTCCTCCTCTAACTGCGATCTAGAATTTCCCCGGGATTTTCTTCTCGGCCGCATGGCAGCGGGTGCTGCCTGAGCTGGGATTTTCCTTGCCGAGGGCTCGATCCTTCCTTCCTCTGTAATCCCGGAGGATTCTCTTGGAACTTTCATTTAAGCCGTGGGGTTCTTGTTTTGCGCGGACTCGTTGTTACCTGTTATGTCCCCTCGGATTTTAACTTGCCCTTCCTCGGGATGTTTTATAACGGGGTTTTTAAGCAGGGCTGCTGCCGGCTCTCGCTGATAGCGGTGCGGGGCAGTGGGGAGGCTCAAGCAGCCCCTGGGGTCCCGGCGGCGGCAGCCCGGGTTCTTGCGGCTGATCCCGACCCTTCAGACTGTGTCCGTTCGCCTTGTCTTTACTGAAGCAGGTGACGACGCCGGATGTTGAGAAGAAAATCGAGGAATACAAGCGGGAAAACGCGGGCATGTTCAGCTGGGAGATCCGGGACAAGCTGCTGAAGGACGGTGTGTGTGACCGCAACACGGTGCCGTCAGGTACGGGGCGGCGGGGACTCAAACACCTCCCGGAGGGCCGGGGCTGGGGTCAGGACGAGAAGGGCAACGCGATATCCGGGCAAGCCCCGTGCCCGGAGGGATCGGAGCCCCGGCGGGGCTGGTGCCCATGGAGCGGTCAGCGTTAGCACGCTAGTACCGGCACACGCGTCCCGGGGGGATTCCAGCGCTCGGCGGGGGTGTTTTCAATTAGATCGCAACTGCATCTCCTTCCCTTCCTTCTCCCTCCTCTTGCCCGCCGGGCTGCTGCCGCCGGAGGGCTCGCGGCTTGCCGGAGACCAGGCGCTGGGAGCCGTGTGCCGGTGGGCTGTTGTGTGTGGGGGGCCGCGCACGGTGCTGCAGCGGTGTTTGTACGGGTATCTGTGGGCTTTCCTCATCACCAGTGCCCGGGCTTGGGGGAAAGAATCTTGCGGGGCCGCTGTGCCAGAGCTGGAGCGCGGTGCGGGAGGGTGCCTGTGAAAATCACCCCTGGGAGGGAGGGGAGGGCAGTGGGCGGCTGCATCCCCCCAAGCCCCTAATGGAAGTGGCGGGGGGGTACACGGGGGCAGAGGCATTGCTGGGGCTCTCTTTCCCCGGCCCGGCCAGAGCGGGGGGCTGCTGAGAACGAGCCACATCACAGCTCTATGCTCCCCCCGAAGTGAGCTCCATCAGCCGCATCCTGCGGAGCAAGTTTGGGAAAGGTGAGGAAGAGGAGGCTGAGCTGGAAAGGAAGGAGGTGGAGGAAGGCGACAAGAAGGCCAAGCACAGCATTGACGGCATCCTCAGTGAAAGAGGTAAAGTCCCATTTCCCCCTGCTCTGCACGGAGTTCTGGGACTGGCCAGTGCCAGCCTCAGGTGCTGCTGGGTGTTGCTCACCTTCTCCCAGGGCTCATCTGTCCCGGGGCCTGTGCAGCAGATGGCATAGGCCAAGGAGTACGGCTGTCCCATCCCATCCTGTTCCCCCAGTATGACCCTTAACTGTGTGGCAACGGCACAGAGGTCAGGGCGAAGATGGGGTTCGCCACTGGTTTGGCTTTCAATAACAGGGATGGGGCCAGGGTGCAGGGAGGGCTGGAGCCGGCAGTGGAGCCTCTGGCACGGCGACGGCACTGCTTTCCCAGCCCAATCCTAGCAAAAGGCCGCAGCTGCACAGAATGGGTGCTTGAAGCCAAAGGCCATGGAGCCTCGAGTCTCTGCAGCCGTGGGCAAGACAGAGAGCCACAAGTTTAATTTCTTCTCCTCTTAAAAGTGCTGGGAAAAGGTTGTGTTGGTGCTTGGCCAGGAGCTGCAGGGAGGTTGCAACCTGAACAAGGCAAAGCGCTGTTCTGGGGCAGCCACTGCCCCTGTTGCAGTGGTGCCCGGCTCTGTGCCCGGCTGGGCCAGGGCGAGGGACAGATGAGGGCCCGACTGGGCCACCTGTGCATGGAAGTAGCTGCCCAGCACATGCACAGGCACTGGAGAAGGCGAGACAAAAGTACCAAATGAGCTGGTCAAACATTTGTACAACTTTTCCAGCTTTTACAAAGAAGGCCTTCTATACACAATCTACACTTGGAGATGAACTTGGAAAACAAAGAGGGGGGAGTCCATTGAAACTCACACTTTGGCTTTGCACAGACAAAGCTTCAGCTAGCAGCAGCTTGATGTGAACAAAAGAAGGCAACCTTTTTATAATTCAAGGAGAAAAGAAGAGAAAACAGCCCCACAAAAGGCTGAGAAAAGACATTATGGGCTTGCAATGAGGGATGAATTATTCAATGAGCCCCTAATAGCTGATGCTCCACGCAGTTTTATGGACTCTCCACTGTGGAAAAAGTAGCTGTTTCTACCTAGGAAAGTTTCTAGCTTTTCTAGACATCTGGAGGTGCTGAGTGCTGTTCTAGAAGGACAATTGAAACCTGTCCTTTAACAGTTGTATATTTCCTTGTCATGTAAGAACAAACCTGCATTCCCTAAAACTTAGTTTTCAGCTCTGTTAAGTGTTCAGGAACTTTGTAATACGAACAAGTTTGTAATATAAACAGGCAGAAAGATACTAAGGAAGTAAGAGATTTTTAAGGCCAGAAAGCACAGTTTGAGTGCCCAGCCTAGCTGCTTGTATAGGGGGACCTATAGCTGCTTCCAGTATTTCCTTCTCCAGAGGAGTTATTCTGAGATGGACATGCACCAAGGGAAAAATAGCTAAACTCTGTGCCCTAGCTGTTAAAATAACTAGTTCTGCTTTCCTGAATTTCTCAACAGAGATTAGAAACAGAAGATAGGAAGCCTTGATAACATCCCTGCTTTATGGAACAAACTGTAATTAATAGAGACAGCAAAAGAAAAAGTATTGTATAAGGTAGAAACTACCCCTCTACTTCTCTTTGAAACAGTCTTCCCATTCTTTGACTCTGCTCTTTAAAGCATGGCTCCTGATCTATCGTAAATCAATGTCTGGGCACATGGCTGTTGCAATCAGCCTGGTGGAGCCCCGAGACTCTTGCAGGAAAAGCACTGGGGCCGGCAGTGCCTTGCTGCAAGCAGGGGCTCGCTCATGTTCCCCAGCACGGTCATATGAGGAGGCTGCATTCTGTTCTCTAACATAACCTCTCCTTCACTTTCTGTGGACAGAAGTGTCCTACTTTGCTTCTTTTGAGTTTAATCAGTGGCAAAACTGCCCTTGACTAAACGAGGTAGTGCAGCCCTCTCCTGTCCTTGCACATGAGGTTTTGTGCTGGGTGAACATGGCCAGGCAGTTCTGTGCAAACAGCAGTTTGATAATCCTGTCTGTTCTGTGACAGGGCTGGGAAGGTTTGGCAGTTGGAGGGACAGTATGCTCTTCCCCACAGCAGCACACGCTCCCCCTCCCTGACTAGCAAGCTGTTGCTTAATCTTATTACTGGAGTGGCCAGGATGCTGCAGTGTGCGAGCTGCTGCCTAAGAAAGGATTTCTTACCATACACATGGTGTGTGTATAGTGTGATACTACAGGGACAGCACACCAGTGAACTCAGCACATAAAAAAAACACCCACCATAAAATAACGCCACTACTACTTTCTGTATCTGGCCAACAAAAAAGTTGCTGTTTCGACTACCACTGCCAGCGGAGCAGCTTTGATTTCAGTCCATCTATAAAAATCTTTAGGTGAGATCCTGCTCTTTTACTGAAATAACTGGCAGCTTTTCCAAGGATTTTGATGCTGCAGGATTGTAATTGCCAGCATCCACCAGCCTGGTGTGGCAGAGGGTGCCTGCCTCTCGATGCCCTCTCTGAGATTAGGGTCTATGAGATAGGGTCTACCCTATGTCCGAAGGGTATCCTGGCAGTGTGCAGCAAAACCCCTGCATGGTAGTTCACTGCTGAGTGCTCTGCACAGGAGTGCTCCACATTATGCACTGAAAAAAGTGCTGAGTCTTCTGCAGTATGAGAGGGTTTTATAGTGCTGGTCTCAGGGGCTTGAGGTGTTCCTGCAGCAGGAGTGTGAGTACAAGGAGACGTAAGGGAAGGCTGTGGGGTAAGTCAGAAAACAAGTCCTGGGGCTGAGTCCAGAGTGGGCACTTGCCTTCATGCTCAGGAGCACACCTCCAGTGCTGGACACTTGCTGACATGTCCTGAAATCCCCTCCTTGACATGGGCATTTGGGGTAGCGTGGGGACAGGCTTTTTTTCTGAGGGCAAGAATAACAATTGTCATTTTAATGATACATAATTCAAGACCTGGGGAATAATTACAGCAGAGTGGGATTAGAGAGAAAAGAAACATATTTTTGATAAACAGGTGATAGAAACAGTATGTCATTTGGCTTGGGATTCCTCCCATCACATATATATGTATAGGTAAACTTTCATGCGTCCTGTTGTGATTCTGTCTCAGCCTCTGTCCACAGACACTTAAAAATGATTCTCTGGCCGGTGTTCGGTGTTTACCGATGCCACACGTGCATCCCACTTTGCAGTATTTCAACACTTCTGTCACTGTCACTCTCTACCCTGATTTTGGATATATATTTGATGAAAGCCTTTGTTGTTGCAGTCCGTACCAGGAAGCTGATAATTCTATAATAGCATATCTGTATTTCTGCATGCGTGATAAATTTCTCTTAAAGGCATAAGCCATAAATAAAGAACATGAGAGAGAAACTTGTGTGCCTTTATATGGCACATCAGGGCATATTTTTAGCATAACTGCTACAGAAGAGGGAGCCGCTTGTACCTTTAGCGGGAGTTATGCGCGACATGGTTTGCTGACTAATCTGATAACTCCCCCTTCATAAGATAGCTGTTGTTTTCTGGCAGAAACCGGCGGCTTTCAGCGCTCAAACGATGGGGCGTAGAGCTGGTCCTCGGGCCTGCTGAGAGCGGGCGGTGCGGGCTGGGGTTGGGGCCGAGACCCCCCTGCCCGGCCTCAAAGGGGGCCTCTGTTCCCAGCCAGCGGAATTGGCCCCCGGGCCCTGTCCTGGCGGATCCTCCCCCAGTCATGCGCACCCGTCCAAAAAGGGCCCTACTCATCCCAAGCCTCTACCCTTGGCTGTACTGAGAGCAATTCAGGCTACAGCAGACTAAATTGCCTCCTTTATTTCCTTCTTACTTTCATCTTGGACCAAACCCTTCCCCCCCTCTCCCTCCCCTTCCTCTTTTCTTTTTTTCTGTGTGCCTGAGGCTCACATTAATACAGTTTCGGCACCACCCCTATTTTAGTGTGTGTATGTGGAGTTTGAAGCGGGGAGGGGGGAAAGGGACCTTAGCACAAAAGGCCTGCTCAGCAGCTAGAAAGTTCAAGCTGCTGCTGCTTCTCTAGCTGTGTGATGCTTTTCCTGTTTGCGAGTTTTGGGAAACATTTTTGCTTTGTACTGTAATGGAATTAGAGGACAGATGCTGACTGTAAATGGGACACGCGACTACCAGCCCCTAGCTTAAATATTTAGATGCAATGTTACAATTACTGACTTGATGCACAGGCTTTGAAGTGGTGGCACATGATCTAAAGGGTAGCTCAGGCTAGATGGGATTGCAGATGTTTTGATTGGGGTTGGTCAGTATCATGCAGCCAGTTATTTTTAGGTTGTAAAACTAATAAAGGCAGTTTATTAAGGGACAGGATTAGCATGCAGGCACCAGATACTGCTTTGAGTCATCCCATTCATTTCTGCATTGTAGACTGCTGGGTTAGTGGCCAGAGCATGGGGCAAAGCGGACGCCAAGTTAGATTTTGCTTGCGATTTTCTGATGCAGGGCTTGTTGTGATTTTGCCCCAGCATCTCGTCCCAGGGCACAGTGGTAAGAGGACTTATTTGCTGTGTGAAGTACTGTTGTGTCTTACGCAATGTGTTCTCCTGCTCAATGTTCCTGGTAAAGCTTCACTTAGTGAATGAAATGTGCTGACTGTGGCTGCAGGCAGTTATCTTCTTGAGACTGGAATTGCATCACTAGCAGGTTTAAGAAATTAGCTCATGTAACTTGAACAGAATTTTGTTTCTGAGGTTCTCAGGAACTGACAAGAAAATAGTGCTTAATTAAGAAATACTCCTTATTGACTCCAGGATTTGGCTCAAGGCAGGTAGTGCTAACAGTATTTTCTGCCTGTCTTTTTCCCCTTTCTTTCCTCATATCCCAATAGTGTGTGAGATTCCAGTCCTAGATAGAAAAGCCAGGAGCTGCATGAGCACATATGTAGGTGACACTGTACAACCCAAATACATTTTCTTCTCCCTCACCCATCATCTCTGTGGGGTTCTGGGCCAGGCTCCCGCTTCCAAATCATTATTTTGAGCTAATCATAATGACTGATGACCTCAGTGATCAGTGCTGACCTC